ACAATCAGACCAAAGACGATTATTTCAGTGACTGTCGGCATTGTAGGCCACACTGTTTCAGTTTGAATGGCGGGACTGACTTATGCGGACGTCTAAGGAGGACATGGAAATAGGGGCACCTCGTCCTACCCTAAACCTTAACTCTACGGTTGGTACTAGCCCCTACCTTAACCCTAAACTTGATTCTGGCTTATGTAACCGTTAACTCTAAATCTAAATTTAGGCCTTATCCTTAACTTAACCCTAACCTTAAACCTAACCCTTATTCCACTGGAATTTGGCTCAAAACCACACATATTGCTGGGCTGTTTCTGTTCTCGTGTCCTGTTTAGACGTCCACGTACATCAGTTCTAACCTCCTGAATGATGACGGCAGTTAAATTAAAGACGATCATTACAATGCCTGTGGGCATTGGCGGCAACACCTGCTGCAGGGACAAGGCGAAAGTCCCCCCAGCTATTAGCGTTGCCACGTGGGTTTGGTCATTCAGAGACGCGAAGAAAAGAAGTTGTTCCTCCATTGTGGTCTGCTTGCGTACAATCCTTGAAGGTATTTACCTATACGGACCTCGTAAACGTTTCTTTTATGGTATTATTCGGACAGAAAGTAGTGAATTCTGAAGACAGTGTTGGTTCTTCCAGTAAAAATTGTGGGTCTTTGCAGAGAGGATCGGAGAGACGTCGTTGAGCAAAGAGACACAGCATGGCGTAAGCTGGAGAGTTTACTGTAATTATAGTACAACCATAGTTTTGTAGACTTAGGAGCGTAATGGGACGCCCGCTGAAGTTAACGGCAAAGAGCGTGGTTAAATCGAGCGCAAACCTGGCCACAAAGATAATCGCAAAAGGTACCGGTACATGATTGCTGGCAAGTAAATCAAAAGGCAGTCAAAGATTTGGTCCGACAAGCTCTGTGCTGGTCAGTGCCTAACATTTTACATAACCTACAGGCGTTACTTGCACTCGAGTTCCTTACTTCGCAACCGCTGTTACGCACCTCAGCAACGGCAACGTACTGTGTACGATCATGCATAGTCAGTGATCGCCCATTGTCTTTTATCTCTCATAGCAAAAAAACGACCCGATGAATGCTGGGGGGAAACGGCAACTTAAAGTGTTTGAAAATATTGGCTGGAAGGCGGAGGCTGACTGGTCAAACTAACGCCACTTACTGACCTCCGCTGAATACAGATTTTCGTATTATTAATTGAAGTCAACGGGAGCTACCACACAATTGACATCCACCCTGTACATTTTCGTAAACCGTTAGAAAGCGAATAGGCCAAGACGATGACATTCACCAGGCACATCCACCACATTTGTCCAACTGTACTGGCCCGACGAGAATTTATCGAAAGCTACGTATGCTCGCCACCTCGTCTTCTGATTACTGATATGGGGATTTTCGCAACTCAACCACTTTCTGTCAATACCTACTTCAACTGATCTCCTAACTAGGTTTGATACTCCCTCCGTCATGGTCGCAACTTTGCGCGGTGCACAGTTCAAGTCCACCTTTTTGGAACACACTCGATATTTGGACGGTCGCGAACGACAATGTCGTCCATTGCTGTCCAACGATATTGGACCGGCAGAGCCGACGTGCATGAATATTTGTAGAATGGTATTACCGACAAAGACAAGGGAGACTGGGATGGCCATTTCTGGCTTATTAGCCGTCGTCAGCCAGCCATACCCAAGCCAGAAGTGTGGAACACCCGAGCCTCGAACTCGCGACCTGTTGGTTTAGAAGTCCACGCCTCTACCCACCGGGCCACGAGCCCGTTGCCCTGTCGGTCTTCGATCGGGAATATACAATGGTAGGGGGCTTGGGTATGGCTGGCTGACGACGGCTAATAAGCCAGAAATGGCCATTCCAGTCTCCCTTGTCTTTGTCGGTAATACCATTCTGTCTATGTATCATGCGCCACTGTGCGGCTGCTGGTTGGGCTCGAGAGAGAGCCTTTAAGGCACAGCGGAACGAGTGAGTTCCGTATGAACGATCGGTGAGGGCCCCCTACCAATGAATATTTGTCTATAATGAGGCGGATATACACAGCACCTACCCCGCTCTCTCCTCCCTCATCCACTTTTTTCCGTTAGCAAGATCAAGCCGAGACAACCGGCGGTGGGTTAAACAAAGCTAAACAGCTCATCTACGCGTGCCACACCCGACCTGGCTCTCACACGCAGGTGATGCTTTTGATCCCACACACGTTCGCGCTAATAAGGAGCCATTGCAGTCTGACCCTCTACCTTAATGGAACCGAGTTATCTCCCCAGTTGGCAACCCTCCAAAGCACGTGTTCGTGTGTTGTGACAGCTTGAAAGGACGTCTTGTTGTATCTAGAGCCTAGGAGCTGAATCAGAGTCGGACCTGTCGTACTCTCCCTTTTCTCCGACAGTCATCAGGGACTTGCCCGATCCAAGCCGACGCACCGACTGACGTGGTACGAAGTCATCATTCACGCATGCCACAAGTAGGATCAGAACTCGTAGAGAAGGAAGGGAGGTCGCTGCAGTCTGACCCCCTTTCCAAAGCAGGCCGGCTGCGCTCTAAATCAAGAATTTGAGCAAGTTGGGATAGTTTCAGACCTGTTGGTCTGATTATTGTGAGAAATGAGCCGATTTGACCCGAGGACGGATTCTTAAGTGTCATTGGTTGTCTACCTGATCCCGTCAGCCAACCGGACGCAGGGGCTGAAGTGGCCCGAAAGTCTCCGCCCAATGCGTGCCCAGTGTACATGCAGCGGTGGCCGTGAGCTGATTCGCCAGTCGCTCCACTCAACAAAAGTGCAAACAACCACTGACCTCCGGCAATGCCGCTCTTAGTATCCTAGCAGAGAAGACCGCTCAGACGGACTTCAAGGTTGCAGTGATGAAGCCAATACTTTTTTGGACATCCAAAAGTGCCTGTCCGTACAACTTGTAGGTATGATAAATGCCCACAAACCTAGCTAAAAAACGGTGGTCAAGGCATTGTTCGGCAGGAAGACTTAGAAAAAAAGAGTATTGTGTATACATTGTTCATGAGGGGGTGTGAAAATCTGTGAGTGAATATGCCAGGATATTGTAAACGACGGATCCCTTAAAGTGGTAGCTCTGAACTCCTTGTTTATCTTACCAGCGGGCCATGAGAAACACTCTGGGTGTGGGTTGAATTCGAATAGAGATCACTCAAACTTTGTTTTAATCAGTATTGCTTCTTCAGGCCCGATGTATTTTGGAACCACTCTCAGTACAACAGAGAAAAAAAGGCGCCAATCGTAGGATCGAAAGTATCGAACCGCATAGGCGAATGCTGAAGTTTTAATGGGACATTCAGTTGCCCGTATTTCTATACACAGTCCTTTCTGTTCAGCTGCTCCAAAATATGCTTTCCACTGGTTGACGAATTAACCAGTCGCTGTCCGCAATGGTGACCGCTATGAATTTTCCCGACTCGTATCTGGATGCAGGAGTTGGCTCGTCTAACCCATTTTTTCAAACTTGAGTCCTTACAAAGCTTCTCTTTAAACCCTAGAAGACCTTCAAAAACCAAGCAGATTAGTACAGACAGCATGAATTTAGTAAACGCTTTGCTTAGTTACAATTGTCTTAGAAATTAAATTGGGCATAAGACCTGTCTTCCCTTGCGTTCTATGAACTTGACCCAAAACGTCATTAAGCAGAAACCACCAATGAAGAAAAGGCACTTTAAGGGGAAGAATTAACTTCGTGATCGGACAAGAGGAATGTAATTCCAGTTTGACCGTATAGTGAAATTTGGAAAGCTATGCGCACATGAAAACAAAATAGAATCTCAACGTCAAGGCTATTTTCCCTTATTACTGTCACTGATTACGTGATAGGTTGTTGCAGGCGTTAATCCCTGTGCAACTGCCTGTTTCCTTCCAAATAGCTTTATCTACTGCTCAGAAGCTTTGAACAGCATTTTAGTATTTTTGGACACCTATGGTGGATGCCGAACAGGAATTTCGGAAGCAACAAGCTCACCGTCGCCATCGACAAAACGTGCTCTACTATTTTCATTCGGCAGACTTGCGTTTTGCAGTGTTAATTTGAGCAGTCAAGGCGTTTACCGCTTCTAATGATTAACGAAGAAATCCACAGATGGCTGGAAATACAGAAAAAGTCAAGTATAAATTTCTTAAAAGCGCAGGGGAAAAAACTGGTCGACGTTGTTGCACAAATGGAGATGCGTCTCCCGTTCTCAGATCTATGAATCCACGTGTGCTTTTAGGAGTGCAAATTGCGTAAATTCGATAAGATCGTCGACCACACTGTCAGTTGTTTCAGCGACTGTGGACTTGCCGATGTGGAATTTAAGGAGCTTAAAATCCTGTCAACTTCATGAATTAAAAACACATCATCTGCCCACAGATCTTGAAATAATGCCCTTAACCGCTTTGGAAGTAGTAACATCCCCCAAACCTTTGGTTCCTTTCCTCCGTATATTGTTTAAACAGTCAGAAATCGCCCTTCCTGGTCCGAAATCGAAATTTGATGCAAGCCATCAAGCGGTTATGGTGTAATCGCGAACGTGAAGGCTTCGGTTTGGCGAAAAGTAATTTGACGTCGATCGGATAATATCCAAGTTATAAACTAAAAACTAACGTATCATTTACTGATCCCTTCTCGCCAGGGTATCAACGTTTCACGATGCTTAGAAAAACAGAGTCAGACTTTGGCTCCATCAGTCGGTGCGTCATTTGCATTCCAGAAAGTGTTCTTTTATGAAGACAGAGGCTAGTGCAACATTCTGTATACATAAGCCTTTTTAGAGATAGGAAGGGCCACGACGGACTTCATAATCCGCGTTAAAAATTACTTAAATACTCTCTTTAACCCGAAACTGGCACCCCAAACATGTCACTAGGCAAATCTCCCCTCCTACTTACAAGACAAACAATTCTGCAACTTGCATCACAATGGGATAAATGTTAGAGTAAACGCTGTAATGAAGTTTGTCAAGGAGTTAATAACTTTGGTGAAGAGTTTTACTGTTCGGCCACATCATATTCTTCAACATCCTCCTCATCAACACTCGCTTCCTGATATTGTTGATATTCGCTGATGAGATCGTTCATATTTGACTCGGCCTCCGTGAACTCCATCTCATCCATACCCTCGCCAGTGTACCAGTGCAAAAATGCCTTCCTGCGGAACATAGCCGTAAACTGTTCCCCAATGCGCTTGAAGAGCTCTTGGATAGCCGTGCTGTTGCCAATAAAGGTGGACGACATCTTAAGACCGCGGGGTGGGATGTCACAAACAGCAGTCTTCACATTATTCGGGATCCACTCCACAAAGTAGCTGGAATTTTTGTTTTGGACGTTCATCATCTGTTCATCAACCTCCCTCATTGACATGCGACCGCGGAAAATAGCAGCGACAGTCAGATACCGACCGTGGCGTGGATCACAGGCTGCCATCATGTTCTTTGCGTCAAACATTTGTAGGGTCAATTCGGGAACCGTCAAAGAACAATACTGTTGGCTGCCGCGACTTGTAAGTGGGGCAAATCCAGGCATGAAGAAATGGAGGCGTGGAAATGGTACCATATTAACCGCCAGTTTACGGAGGTCTGCGTTTAGCTGGCCTGGAAAACGAAGGCAAGTGGTGACGCCAGACATTGTTGCACTGACGAGATGGTTGAGGTCCCCATATGTGGGCGACGTGAGCTTGAGTGTTCTGAAGCAAATGTCATAGAGAGCCTCATTGTCAATGCAATAAGTTTCGTCTGTATTTTCAACAAGCTGATGAACTGATAGTGTAGCATTATAGGGTTCAACAACGGTATCTGAAACCTAAAATATGGATTCAGAATATACTCGTAGAACTCTATACCCACCTTGGGAGATGGAACAACAGAGAATGTGCTCATGATTCGGTCCGGATACTCCTCTCTGATTTTCGAAATCAAGAGCGTGCCCATTCCTGAACCAGTACCACCACCAAGGGAGTGAGTCAATTGGAAACCTTGAAGACAATCACAAGCTTCTGATTCTTTGCGAACTACGTCCAGCACCGAATCGATTAATTCGGCACCTTCGGTGTAGTGACCTTTTGCCCAATTATTTCCTGCGCCACTTTGACCGAATACAAAATTATCTGGCCTGAATAATTGACCGAAAGGTCCAGCTCTAACGCTATCCATTGTTCCCGGTTCCAAGTCTAGGAGGACTGCCCTAGGAACATATCGACCGCCTGTCGCTTCATTGTAGTAAACATTGATGCGCTCCAGTTGTAGATTAGAATCACCGACATAGGACCCAGTGGGGTCAATACCGTGTTCGTCCGAAATGACTTCCCAAAACTAAAAAAATGAAAGTTGCCGAATTATGTTACTTTTGAGCCAATCTGGTTTCCACATTGACCAGCCTGTATATGAACTATCTCCCTCATGCCTGTTGAACTGACGACGTCCTACGAAAAGGGTGATCAGCCTCGAATTTATACAATGAGTGAATGAAAGGTTGGCTTGTCAAGGTCGAAGTTGGTGAATTAAAACATCGTCCAGCTGGGGGAAGTCAACTTTTGCCCAGACACATTTAAAAAGCAATTGTGCATATTTATTAGGCGTGATTTAATAACACGTCACGTCTGTTACCGAAGGCGAAAGTTTTTCGCTTAAGTTTTAACCGAGAGATTTGGAGGGGGTTAGAGAATACGGCAATATGTTCCATTTCCGGAATAAATGAAGTGTGGTTTCTGCACCGGTATGAGAGATTGACAGACTATTGTTGCTAGCGGGACGCTAACGGAGTCAGCAACGAAAAGACGTAGGCGGCATGCAGAAGATATTTGGACTGGATTGGTGTGCGAATTGCCGTGGGTTGGGATGCATTTTGTAGTTTCACGGTTGCTCCAGGTCCATTGGCACATTCAGATGAACATCACATGACGTTATACTGTCAGGCATACTATGCCGCATATACACTGTCGAAATTTGCCAAACATGAAGATAATGTTAAGGCGAAATCAATTGGATTTTTTAGCACGCCCAGGTTAGTAGCATGTGCCAATAAGCAGTATATTACTGGTCGCCGCCGAATGCATCGACATATCTCAGTCATTTCAAGTCAGTTTACTAATAGAATGATGCTCTCGCCCTGGAGCTCATCGCTCAGATCCGAAAATGACTATGGATCCATTCGTTACATCAGTAATTACGGAAATTTAAATGTTAAAAGAGCCAGGCGCAAACTGCCGCCACTGACACAATCGTGATGATATGCGCAGTATTTTCGAACCAAAGTAGTATCTGGCCTGTAATTAAATGAGTAGACAGTTTCGGAAAGAACCATCGTGTCAGGGAGTCCGTTTCACGCTCCGACGATTCTCAGTGAGAGAACGCCTGTCGGACGTCTGTATGGACCAACTTCCTCTGCAGTTTAAGGGGTGACCGGGCAAACACTCTGTCCCAGCCAATTCGAAGAAGTCGTCGAGGTCTGGGGCGCAGTCACGGCCACGGCCAATGCGGTGAACATGAATGAGTTTGTCGCGCAGTGGCCTGTAATTTGGAGGAAGCAGATTTAGTTTAGCCAGACTGGGTTCGCGAGGCAGATGACCAAAATTATTGACCCACGCCTACAGCCTTTGCAGCTACTGATAACCCTTTTAGAACCATGGTCGTCAGGCATGGGCGGCATACTCTAAGCGAGACAAAACGATTGCCCCTTAGATTTTCCAGAACAGCCCCTTATCGATCTGCGCAAATCTCCGCCGCAGCTCAAATAACACCGGTATCGCGCGTTTGACTGCCCTTGGACATCGCCACGGCAGTCTCAGCGTGAGGGTAATCAGGACGCCGAGGTTTTTCTGTTCCTCAATAATAAACCTGGATCGAACCAATCCCGTCCCCGCGCCTGGCCACTCAGGTCTGACCTTGCGGCTAGATCAAATAAGTCAGATGATAGTTCAGGGAGATCTTTACCTGTTCCTATCCCGAATTCTCAGCTTAACGTAAACACCTCAATTGTGAAGCCCACTTACACACCAGCCTGCAAAATGCAAGTACATAGCGTTGCAGATAATTTTTCTAATCACACTGGTAGCCTGACGCCCCAAATAATAAAGCCTTTTCCTGATGTAAACTGTTTCCCGAAACCATCAGGTCCGCTAACTAACATAAACTACCCCTCATATTATGCTCAAAATTCACAAAATCCTATTTTCAGGCCTCCTATTTTTCCAACCCAACAAAATAGTTTTCCTCTTCCTGGGTTCTACTCAAATGTTTTGCCAGACAATGCTGCATCTCTAGTTAGTGTTAATTGCCCCACAAATTTTAGACCACAGCAACTTTGTCTTCCACCAATTGCTTCGCCCCAGCAGCTTAATTTTCCACCACCAGCTCTCTCATTTTAATAAGTAGCAATGAGTGGAACCTACATATTAGAAATAGGCTCAGTATAATCCCTTTCAACGCAAGATGAGACGTGCAAAAAATGGCACAACTAAGAAGTGTGGCTGCTGGGTTTGACCCAGACGTGTCGTGCATTAGTGAATCTTGTGTTTACTCTCTAATTTCAGACTCGGCACTCCATATAGGTTGCCTCAGTTTATACCGCCAGGATCGTGTCGAAAGACGCGGCGGTGGTTGTCAGAGCCTCACTTGCACAGTAGCCTTATGACCTGAATATCTCCTTCTTCTCTGGAAAGTTATGTTTCGCTTCGGTACTCTTTCGGCAAAATAGGAAAGCCTTAGTCTGATGTGTATATAATCCTCCTTGTTACTCCGGAACTGAAAGTCAACTCTGTGAACTCTTCGAAAAAATTGCAGAGATTTCTTTCGATGTCAAGATCATTGTAGGCGATTTTAAATTGCCAGAAATTGACTGGAACACACATACTTCCTCTCCTAAATTCCAGAAGCTTCTTCACACAATTCGCTTTTCAAACTTGTCTCAAATAGTCCACTCTTCGACCAGAAACATTAGTGTTTTGCATTAAATTTTTACAAATGGCACCTTCCCTCTATCAATGGACTTCTATCATGACCTTTTTGCAAGTGATCATGCATTAATTCGTCGTCGCCTTCCAGTTGCCATTTACGCAGAGCCAACAGTACAACGTAGTATTTTTGACTTTGCTCATATTAACGAGGAATTAGTAAATAACAATACAAGCAATCTTGATTGGCACATTATTTTTTTCAAATAATGATCTAAATTTTTTAACAGTTTATTACAACGCGTAACAGAAGGTCTTCTCAACCTTATTCCTCGGAAGAGGTTCAAATCGACTGCCACTTCCACCGCTGTCCCACACTGTCTTAAAAACAGGCCTAAAAAGCTATAGAAGCATCTTAAAGATCCTTCTGTGAGCTCATTATCAGTTCCCTAACGAACCGTTAAATATTTGAATTATCTTCGAAGAGGAGGCTCGCGCGAGATAGCCGTAGAGAGTCTTTAGCTACTAATGGCGTGAATGTTTCTAAGTCTGTTGCTCAGTTCTCCCGTCAGAGATCATCTGCTAAATCCCACCAAGTCATGCAAGCATTTGCTAAGTACCAACGATACCTTCATTACAAAGGAGTCTGGCAAAGCAGAAATGTTGAATTCACTTCACGATTGAAACTGAGCCAATCCCTTTAATTCCTCCATTGTCTGATGTCTCTCTCAGTATCATCAATTTTTCTCCTGAGACTATTCAGAAACTGATAAACCATCTTCCTAACTCTCATTAAGTAGGTACGGACAATATCCCAAATTCTCTTATAAAACAGCTAAGAGATTTTCCTCCGCTGCTTAGCAAAATCTTTTCAGTATTTCTCGTAAACGGCTTCTTCCCTGACTATTGGAAAACTTCTATTATTATTTCAGTATTTAAGTCTGGTTGTCGTTCTGACGTTCAGAACTATCGAGGTGTCCATAAAACACCTTATCTCGTTGAAACCTTTGAAAAAATTGTCACCTTAAAAATTACCGACTTCTGCATAGCCAATCAAGTTATGAGGCCTTCCCAGCACGGTTTTTTACCAGATCGCTCTTGTGAAACTTGTCATCTGTCGTTTCTCAATCTACTTACTTCTCTTCGTAATGACCATCTATCTGTTGTCGTTATTTATTTCGATCTTAGTAAAGCCTTCGATAAAGTGCCACATGAAAGACTCCTGGTTACATAAGAAACACTGGGTATTCGTAATCACCTAATAGACTTTTTTCAATTCCTACCTGTTTTAGTGGGATCTTCACTTTCCAGTAAAAGCCCCATTGTACGTTTTGTCCTACAAGGCACCGTCTTAGGTCCTCTTTTGATCCTGCTTTACATAACTGATATCTAGGCGATGGTTAAACATTCCCAATCATTTATTTATGCCGTCACGAAATTTGTTGGCCCCAATAAATTCTGCTTTACATGCTTGTTTTCAAATGTGTATATTCATTCAACAGATATACGAGACTGCATTGCCTGGAGCAAATCCATGCTAGCTTGCTTGCTCTCTCAGCTTGCAGCTCAAAATGGCTAATGGAATTCTCTCCGTCTAAATGTCGCTGTATGTGTAATGGACCTGACAGTTTACCCCAACCAGTGGTCTTTCAAGGCACACCGATTACTGAATGTACTACCATCAAGGATTGAGGATTAAGCTACACAAATCATCATGATCACTCGCCAAACGCTGACAGAATTACAGCCAAAGCTGCCCAGATTTCTGGATTTATTTCTTACAATTTCTATCTTTCCGAAATTAAATTAAGACTCCATAGCATGTTTGTACTTCCCATTCTGGAGTATTGTAGCTCACTTTTTGGTTTGATGAACGAGGCTAGTCGTTCAAAATTGAAAATGTTCAAAGAAGTTTTACTAGGAAACTTTTAGGCAGGGAACATCGAAATATCTCCTACTCAGATAGATGCCAGCTAAGGAAATCTAGGACGCCGCCATTAAATTACCGTCTTGCCTCACATTTCTTTCCTTTGTGTGTAGTATCGCTTTCTGGGATCCCTCATCAGAAATGTTAATTTTTTTTCGGTTATTCAGTTTATATATCGTGCCCCTCACAGAATGTACTCTATCAACGCTCTTGGTGGAACCCCCTGTATTCGCCATCTACTGGTAGTCTGGTCGCATATCCCTTGGCCCCTCCTAGGCTGGACTCGGCTGACTGTAGCCGATCGTATCTGGGTTCTTATGGCCTCGAGACTGGTTTTCTATTCGCCACTTTGGCATGAATGGCCTCACTCGGCATATAAATTCTTCCTTGATTACGTCCGTTCAGAACCTTTTCCTCAATACCCCATGCAGGCGAGTCCTGTCTGACCCGCATACTTACTCCTTCATGAAATCCGTTATACACTGCCACGTGCAGGCCGGTCCTGCCACTTCTTATCCTTTCATTAGCGACAGCTTCTTCTCATATAATGTCAATCCAGTCATTTCCATTTTGTTTATTTGTA